ACTTGAGTTGCAACCAGAGTCACGGAACGGATTAAGTTCGTAACTAGAGGTACCACTGTATTTGCCCATATCCTATAGAACTGTTCAATGCTAGGCTGAGAATTTGAACTCATTCTTTCCAATTGTTCCTACAGCTATAGGTCAGTACTTTGGCAAAATCCACAGATCCACATTTTCCAAGGTTTGATTTAACCTGACAATATTTTTCCACTGACAGAAATAGCCAACCTGTCCATGAACCACTGGCTGACTTACATATTGGCTACAGTTATGTGAAAAGGTTCCCACCTTGTCTGACTCCTCTCATCTTCCTATGACCATAAATTATCCCAGGCACTATAGAGCTTCTCTCTTGCTCAGTCTCATAATGTCTCATTAAACATATGAAACAGCAGCTCCAAGAATGGAACAAACCCTTTCAGAGGGATCATGCTGCAAAATGAAAGTTCCAATAAATTTCTTTCAAAAATACTGCAGGAGCAATGATGTAGAAATGTCACTGTATAAATAATAACTTGCTTTATTCAAGTATTAATTAAAATGACTATTAAAAAAAGATGGGAAACCACATTCTCCATAATTTAGAAAAATCAAATGAAAACTCTTACTGTTGGCGTAGCTGGCGGCAGCTTTCAAGGTGTGTAGTAGAATTCTGATGCTGAAGCCAGTCCTACAGAGAACAAGCATCCAGGAGTCAAGACTAGGATTAGCACTGATCATTACATTTACACCCTACCTTTCTTCCCAGATCAAGGCAGCAGAGAGATCTGTTCTGCCTCCCTCACCATTCATCCTCACAGCAACCTTGTGATTCATGCTCAGTTGGTCTAGAATTCAGAAAGTCTCACACTGCTTCTATGAATGTGAGAAGGCAGACGAGGATACCCATGTTGAAAAGCCATTACATCAGCATCTGAAGAGCGCTGCATTCGCTGATGATTTCAGCCTGCCCAGCACATCACAGCTCAATTATATGCCACCCAAGAAAGAAGCACAAATACTTAACCTGCAGTTTTATGCAGGCTCAAAAAAAATGAATGTATGAATAGAACAATGCAACTATCAGAGAGAGAAAGAGGGAGAACAGGCGCTGCTGTCCTCAGTATGCGCTCTGGTCCCCTGGACAGGAACAGCAATGCCCAGGGCTTCGTGGCTGGAACAGAATATAGGGTGAGTGGAAAAGTGGGGAGAAGGTAAGCATTTTGAGCAAACTGAAGATGTGGCATGTCTTCTCGGCTACTAGGAGCACACTACCTTGATTCACTGACTTCTGTGAAGTCCCAGGAAATAATAGCTTCCGTGTTCCATCATGACGATCAACAGCAAGCATCTTGCTACCAATTCATCCAAATCGCCAGGTTTGCATCAAAAAGGTCCAGACAAGAGTCCTCCTTTCTCACTGTCCCAGAACTATGACACTCCCTTTCCAGGATCTCACAAGATGTTCCATTTCAAATGGCCTCTCCTACCCACATGGGATTTATCAGGAACAGCATTTTTTTTAAAAAACCTCAAAAACATGCTTTGCAAGCTACACCTTTTAAATAAATGAGACATAGATTCACTTAAGATAGAGTCATGTGAAAAAGAAAGTACACCCCCTGAGTTCTATGGTTTTACGTATCAGGACATAATAAAAATAATCTGGTCCTTACTAGTTCTCAAAAGTAGGTAAATACAACCTCAGATGAACAACAACACATGATATATTACACCA